ATGGCCCTATTTGTACATGGGGCAGTGGTAGAGCTTCTTAAGTGGATGCGGGCAGAGGCACTTATAGGGACCAATGAAGCATAGGGTTCAAATAGGACAGAGGGCAAGTAAAAATCCTAATTCTGGTGGAACGAACCTGAGGTTGAAAGGACTGCCCTGCAGTGCTCCAGCACAGCCAAAAAGCATTCTAGTTCTGGCCTTTGGCTCATAGATGGCAGGACAGACAAGCACAGCAAGGCAACTGTCCTTAATGCTCAGGAACATGCAGGGGCCCTGAGTCTCTTCTCTAGGTATGTTAATTTAGCACTTGGGGTTTCATAGGGTTGGCCGAGTCCCTGGAGGATTACCGCCCTATAGTGTAACACCCTTCAAGGAGAGAACTCCATAGCCTGGTTTATCAGCAGGGATCCTGGTTTTCTCTGATTAAAAATAAAAAACCTGCAATTGTTGGATTAAAAAAAGTAATGCAAAATCCACATTTTTCTGTGATTAAAATGAAACGCCACTAATATGACAGAGATGGATCTCTCTATATATAGTGGTGTTTCATTTTAAATTATGGGAAAATGTGGATTTTGTATTACTTTTTTTAATCCAAAAATCAGGTTGGGTTTTGGTTTTTTTCTAAATTGGAGAAAACCAGGGTCCCTGTCTATCAGTAATAGGAGAGTAAGTTGTTCCCATACTGGAGGAGTTCTCCCCATGCCTGGAGGGAGCCTGCCTCTTAAGGTTTGAAGTGATGCATAATTTTCTTTCAGAAGACTGCAGATAAGCTCCCCCAACCCCTGGCCAAATGTTGATTTTTTGTCAATGGGTCATTAACACCTAATCTGTAATAAACACCTTATTTGGAGTAGGTCCTGATCTTTAAAGCTTTTTATTAGTTCTCAGTGCTGTGTGAGAACATGCTTGCCCCACAAGAAAAACTTGCCCCACCCTTACCCAGTAGATAAGGAGCCTAGAGCTTAGGCAAAAAGGGTCTAGTTGCTCTGTGTCAAGGGTTATACTGATGTAAAAAGTGGCCTGTGACAGGAGAAAAAGTGAGAACTGCCAAGCCAAACTACTCTCTGGGAGTTCGCTTTTCAGGACAACAGATGGAGTCTAGGGAGAGATGCCAAATTCATGAACATTCAAAATCTTTCCTTTATCCTCTCTCTATTTTAGGTTCAGGTTAGATTTCCCACTGGGGGAGGGTTTACATAATGCAGGTCCTGTTCTTTTATTTGAAAGCAAAGACTGCATAATGGTTCCAGGCGCACCTGTGTATACCTCCCCACCCATCTGGGTAACTAATAAGCAGCGATGAAGGAGGAAATACAGAAAGAATAGAAGGGTTTTTATTTGCCGAGTTGGATTAGCTATCTTTTTAAGAGATGCCTAGAGGCGCCGAACTCTGTGTGCCTCTAGGGAGTGTACTTCAGGTAGCCATAACGACCAGAATAGTGTATGGGCAGCTCGCACAGACTCCGCCCAACATTTATGGCAAGTGCTTTTGAAGTCGAAACAGATAATCTTTTGGCACGGAGACAATTGTATTTCCAAGCTGTCACTGTGCAAGGTTCTCCTCAAAATATACAGACAGCCTGCCTTGAAGCACACAACATATTGCTATCTCCCAGAAAAGCCGTTTTCCATGGAATTTCCAACCCAATTTCTACAGCAGATTGATTTGCGTAATGCTTGTTCCTTAGTACCATAATGTGCAGCCTAATACTAGTTAGCTTGCATCTATCCCCATCCTAACCTTTAAGGAATCTTCTATGGGTTAAAAACCTCCAGTTTCCATCTTAGTTAAACCAGGCTTCCATGCCCGTGTCACTTCATTGCCCATTCATACACTTGAAACTACCCTGTGATTTTCATAGGGATGTCTCACTTCCAGATCTTGCTGCAACCGCTGACCATGTGCAAACCCCAGTTCTGAAAATCCTTACTCGGGTAACTTTAATCATTCACCTGTCGGGATCTCATGAAGTAAATAAAAGTAATCCTGGTACAAGCAAGGCCTTTAGTCCAAGGTCCCCTTTGTTCAAGGCTGAACTTTAAAAACAAAAGAGCCCCTTTTACTGCCCAATAACATGACATATCATATATGTTTGCTGCCAGGTGGGAAAAGTCATCTCTTATAATGTCACGTTAAACACCGGCAAGAGTCATAACATGTTTAGAGTCTCACTTAGTCAATATTACCCCCTACTGGTAGGGAGGTGATTAGACTTTTAGTTCCCCAGGCATCATAATGTTCAATATACTGTACAATAAATATCACCATAAGAAAAAAAGATGAAAGCTATGTTTAAAGAGCCTTCTTGAAAGGAACTTGGTGACAGAGTGGAGCGTAGGTGGTGGGAACAGGGCCTATTAGTGTATTCATTAAATTCAGAAGCATGTTCCAGGCTGAGTGGGAGTAACTTGCCCTCAAATGGGTTCCTGTGCATGTAGGCCAGCAGGGAATGCTACAGAGGGCTTGCAGTCTGGGCATCCAGTACAGACTCCTTAATTCTCTCTACATTGTCATGGAAGTTGCTACTACCTACCACTGAAGATGCAACAAAAGTATGCTGAGAGGGCCTGAGCACTTCACAACCAGGAGAACAAGAATGTTCTTGCTTAAGGGAAAAATGCTCACCCTTTAATACACAGAAGATAATTGCAGTGGCCAATTTTCAGTTCAAAAGCAAAGGAAGGACAGAA